TGGCAAAACTTTTCAACACTCAGTTCTAAAACAATGCAACCAGACCTTCACAYCCACCATGGATTCACAGCAACTATCCCTGTTAAAATATACAAAAGAATATTAGGTCATCCCAAACTAAGTCGTTACTGTGGCCAGAAATTAAAATCCCATTAAGTAGCATTTTGTGGTACAGGAAGATTGCGTCAAGCCTTTGTCTGGTCGGGGAACAGGACTCATGAGGAGACAGGGGATCCTGGAGGTAGTGGAGTTTCAACTCCACTACCACATTTATTTCCAGTCTTAATTTCCATGTTTAGTTTAGAGCATCTTAAGTTCGGTCCTTTGGTTAGACTTTGTATATTTTTGTTTACCAAAGCTGTGAATTAAGCTATCTCCATTTGTTTACTTGAAACCTGGCTGTCTGGGCAGGGAAGAAATATTAGTTTAAACTGAAGTTAAGAACCTACAGTCACAAGAAAAATAAATCAAGGGGAGAGAGAAACTGGATAATGTGGGATCGTTTCACTGTGAGCCAATCCTGGTTGGGGACTTTTCCCCCCTGATGACTATCAGGATAGGCAAAAAAAAAATCTTAAACAGATCAGAATTCACATGCCAAGGAACAACTTTTGACTTTTTAAATTATCAATTTGATAAACTGCTAGAAGGAGGCAGCATAGGAAGTTGACAGAAGAATAAAAGAGGAAATCAAAWTTTTCTTTTTTTCCTCCTGTAGCACTGGGGTTAGAACTGCTCTGTGTGCACCATATGTAGAGACATTTACTGTGACTAATGGGAATAATGTACTACATTTCATAATACTGATCTCTTGGGCAATTTGAGAAAAACTCATAATTGGAAAGCTATATGCACTATCTAAAAATACTTATCGCTACAAACTCTCCAGCAAAATTTCTTTTTAAAAAAAAATACATGAAAGAGGCCTTCAAGGGAAGCAAATACATTTTTCAGAATACTAAGAAAAGCCCACCCTCCCTCCTCCCATTTCAGTAAACACTTAATCCTCTCAGATGTTTTCCCCCTGCAGAATGCTTGTGCAGTTTAAGATGGTGTTTAAAATTTTCAAAATTCCTTCTACAAGTGTATTCTTATTTCCCCCTTAGAAAGGGGAGGCAGGGGGCTCAAACTGATGTTAGAAACTGGCACAGATGTTAGAAATTCTATCCTCTTTCCAGAAAAGGACCAAATATGAGCGTGAGGTAATATCCCTTTTTAGCAAATTCTTATTCCTTCTCTCTGATTCTGGATGTAACTGTCAGTATGTCCATCAGGTGAGTGGACATCACCCCTAATAGTTATATGGAAATCCCTCTGAATGCAGGATGTCTGTAAAATTATCTGAAATCAGAGTTGCTACTTGTAGCATTTTCTATTTTGCGTCAGGGAAGTGTTCTGCAAACAGACAGCAACAATCTAACRCTATGCAGAATTTCATAGCTGGTTTTGTGTCTTCCAAAAAAACCAACACTAGCACACAGGTGATACTATCTACCAAATGCTAAACCAAAACTTTTTCTATTTTTATAATTGTTTATTTGCTTATAAAATGATGTGGAAAGGAAAAAAATAAGTCATCTGTGCTCAAATATGCAATCTGATGCCATCAATGAATCAGGAATACATTGCCTGTAAATCAAATAATTTAGGAAAATCACTTATGTGGTTCACTTCATAAAAGGTATGTGTGTGCTTAATTTTCAGCATGATTACTGGCACACTTTGTAGTCCTGTCTTGACAGCTGACTTCAACATTTCACACAGAATTGAGTGACTCTGTTTCCATTTCGATAAATATTTTAAAACCTGCAATCTGAAATGTAAATACCTGGTGCTTCTCAAGATTAATAAGTGACTTCCTATACATTAGGGTTAAGTTTGCTTTTAAAGCACACAATTCAAGTAAAATCATTTTGGAAGTAAAACATCATTAATGTTTGAAGAGATACATCCTTATAAAATACCAACAAACACCAATGTTTCATCTTACCTCTGCTAGCATGGAAAATATATAATTTTTAAATCCTCCATTCTAATTTTCTAAACTCATCCCAAATCTCCTCCTAAGCTCTCAYTTCCTGTTGCCCAAACAGCTCAATAAAAGGTTTTACATTATCTACAATAATACCTCCAGACTGGCAATTTGGAGTATACATATTTCAAATAAAAATTGTACAAGATGTTAGTCATGTGTGTCTATAATCTGGTGGATAATCTTTACAGGTATGCTAATTTTAATTAAGGGTCAGTTATTCCTCAACCAAAGCTAGGAATACAATGGGTGCATATAATCCTTAACTGAAACTAAGAATGCAATGATAAAAAAACTAAATATTCCTGATTAGAAAAGCACCTTGCAGAAATTCACTGTAGATGCAATCTTCATAAGCACTGAGACTGACTTTAGTAAAACAAACACCCAAACCAGTCTCATTATTCACCGTGGTACCTAACTGTTTAGCTACTTATGTTCGGTATTCGGGCAGTTCTCTTAAGACCAAATACAATGCACCTGGAYAGGAATCGTTTTTTTATTACGATCGTTACAGTGTTTTTACCAAAGTCATTGACTTCACCCCAAATGAAAGCCATTACTAATAAAAAACAGCATAACAGACCTTAAGAAGTGAAAAAGAGTCTTGTAATCCTTAAACGCTTTGTATACTACATGAAGATTGATGTGTCCATCATTTTGAAAGAGATCAAAACTTCTCCTCTTACACATTACATAATGACTGAAATAACTAGAAAAAACTAGTGATTCCTAAAATATTTAATATATGTTTCACTAGAAAAGAACTTCATCCAAAGCTTTAGCTCATGAAAATCTCTAAACCCAGAGGCGGACAACTCMTTTTGCGGCTGAGGACAGTCTCCCCGCTACATTTTCTCAAAGATGGCTGGTGCAAACGGCACCTCATAACTACATAAAAATGGTTGCTCAGATTAAATTATGCAAACGTGGTTTCAAAATAAGCTGCTCAAGTTTCAGCGCATTAAAGATGGACCTGCAAAGCATTTGCCGTGTTGCGCCTGGTTCCAGCGGAATTTCAATGGGTACCGAGGGGAGCACAAGCCCCAAATCACCCTTATAAAGAAAGACTCTGAAACATAAGCCCCCGAACATCAAATCCCATGGGCACATTCACTGGCCTTGAACACCAATCTGTCACCAATGCAAAACAAGACAGAGCCCTAAGGAGCTCCTTCAGCTCTCCATCCTGGACTGGAAGCAAAGGGGGCCATCTTTGAAAAACTCAGTTCTATCTTTTAAAATAAGAGAGTCCAGAGGCAGAGCTTTCTAAATGGGGGAGAAATTTTTTTATAGGAAGTAATTAAAATCTATGTTAAATTCCACGAAATGGCATTTATTTTCTATCTTGCATCATTTCATAATCAGACACCCATCTACAAAGATTTTTCTGTGAATATAAAGTTCCTAGTTTTCTCCTACTTAAGAACAAGTGATAGAAAAATCCAGGGTAATTACAATACCAAAGTAATATCCATGAGCTCCCTTTGTAATTTCAAGGCACAAGGCAGTGGCTGGGTGAGAAGCACATCGAATGTTTCCAAACTAATAATTGGTCAAAGTAGATTTATTTTCAGTAAGTAGAATTTATATTTTTAATAGTTCTTTTTTCTCTCTTGGTTTATATTTATCTTAAGGACTAAAGAGCTATGTCAAGTAATGAGTTACATAAACCATCAATCATATTTAGTGTTCGCTGAAATAATTTGCAAAATAACAACAACATGAAATATTTCCATTTTAAATAGTTGGAAACTGTTAGTGGTGGAAGGTTATATAAAATAGCAAGTTTTTAAAGCAAAAAGCTTTAAAAATAAAAGGAGCTTTAATATTCCAGCCAATAGATAGGGAACCATTTTGTCCTGAAATATGAAACCAGCATTATTGATGTCAAACTTGAATTTTCACTCTATTACATAAGTCAGTKTTCAAGACCATAAATATTTCACTGCTATTTGCTTCCCCTTACACCCCTCACTGGTTACATCTCTTGCTACATTTTAATCAGTTTACGCAATTCCCAGCATCAATACAGCAGCTCCGTATGCTCTGCTCCATGCGACAGGTTTTTGCTGTACTTTTTGCAATTATTGAGTTTCGCTTAGTTTCCCCAAAGCGCTCACCATTCACTTTCCTATGCTTCTTAAACTAGKATTGAGGACATCGTCACTAGCTGACTAAACTTTTATGAAAATAAAGATCCTTCAAATAAACCAGCATTCTAGGCCTGGAACTGTCAAAATCTCCAGAAGGAAGAAAACAAAACACACCATTTTTACTTTACGTTTCCCAAATGGGCTGAAAGAGCTTCTCAGAACCCCCTGACCATCCCAACCTACTCACGCATTGGGACGACATTGAAATTCACGACCCAAGTCGCACAGTTCACCCGAGTCACAAGAGGGTAATATTAATGGAAAACTGTTTTGCGGCCCAGAGCCCTTCTCAAGGCCCTTCTTGAAAAGTGTCTACACTCCGGGGCAAAGCCAAATAAGTTGTTTACAAGCCCTGGTCTCCTTTYCCACCCCAAAGTCACTGGTTGACTCCAGGCCACCATTCAGGGTGGTTTTCATTCTTAAAAGCATTTCACTTCCACACCCTCACGCACGGGCACACTCACGCTCAACTCCCCATACATTCCAGAGGCCTCTGAGGACCAGAAAGATGAAAAACAGTCCCTGGGCCATTTTCCCCCAATTTGAACTACTTTAGTTCAAAATAGTCAAGTAACATCGCCGAAAAGAGAGGGGATCAGGAAAAACAAAAGTATTTCCCCCAAATAACTTTGCTCCTTTCTCCCCAACCTCACAGCCAGCCAGAATGGCACCCTATAGAGTGAGCTAGAAAACTTCAAACGCAAGGGGGCCACGCGAGGTTCAGCAGGGACCCGAGATGAAGCCACAAAGAAGGTGCCCCCAGCGGGTCCCAAGCGCACCAAGCGTCCCGGCTCCCTTCTCGCTTCTCTTACTTTTGGATGATCTGGGGTAGGCTGGCTTGGGGAGGCGGCGGAGGCGGCGGAGGCGGCGGCTGCATCCCTCGCGGGCCCGGGGGCGCCGAGGACGCCTGGGCACCAGGCACAACGCAGGCATCTCTGTCCGGTTGTTCCGGACCGCTGGGGTCCGCGTCCTGGCTCATGGGTGCCGCCAGCACCATACGGGGCGAGACCCACCCGGGCTCGCGGCGAGGGAACGCGAGAGAGGGGCGGTCCCAGGGCACGGGCGCTCTCTGGCCGGGGTCCCCGTGCCTAGTCCCCTTGTCCTTTTCGGTGGCGCGGGGAGGAGACGAGAGGGGAGGGGAGGAGGCAGTCCCGGCGGCGCCGCCTCCTCCGCCTCCCGCCGCTCCCGCTCAGCCGGCAGTGCCAAGCGGGGGCGGGGGACAGGGGGCGTCTCCCGGCCGACCGGAGCAGCTTGGCGGCCAGGGGCCGCTGGACGCTGGGGTGGCCGGAGAAGCTCAACCCGCTAACTCTAGGCTCAGCGATCTGGGAGAGAGCGCGGCGCGCGCCACCCGCCACTGTGCGCCCTCCGGTCCCGAGCCTGGTGCTCCKCAGCGCAGCCCACGGCGTGAGAAGGCGAAACGCACGCCAGCCAGCGGCCCGCCGCCTTGCTCTCGCTTCTCCCGGGAGCAGCGAGGCCTCCCGGTTGTCCCTGGGAACGGCGCGCGAGGCCTGGCACCCCTYCGGCCAAGCGGAGAGGACTGAGGCCCGGGGCGTCCGTGCGCATCGCTGGTGCGCTGGGCTTGGCATCTTCCCGCKCGGCTGGACTCCCGCCAGCGCCACTCGCATTTGAGGGACTGGGACTTCTTAAAATAAATATCCGGACCCTCTCCCAGGCCGGTGGGATCTGTAACTTCCGGTCTTAGATGACCAGGCCCCGGGGGCTCTCCAAATTGGCAATTCCAGCTGCTCATTTCAGGGGTCCCCGAAGCAGCCGTAGMGGCTGTCGTGGATGTCCTCGTTTCTTTTTCTCTTCACTGAAAACATCCCGCAAGCGCAAAACCAAAATCAAGCAGACRTTCTATACTTGATACTTATTGGCCACATCTCAGTGGGAACACAAAAGTTGTCCAGGAGAGCGTTCTCAGACGTCGTGCGTCCACCATCACGGCCTCTGAACTTCTGTTAGTTGCTCAGGAACCCTGGTGCGCACGTCCACCTGTGCACCCGAGGGCTCAGCTGTAGGCGTGGACAAAGCGCGCCTTTAAAGGCCCAGGAGCCACCCCGCAGGTGCAGCTTAATATCTTTGGGCTCCGGTGTGTGCTTGAGGAAGCACCTGGTCCCGCAGAAACGTCTAGTAGCTGGACAAAGACCAGGGGAAGTGGCCTTCCATAGGCTTCTTACTGGCCGTCGTACTCACAGACGTTACTACCCCGACGCGCAACCCCGGGCAGCGGAGAAAAGCGTGTCGCGCTACCCGGGAAGCCAGAGCGCACACCGGGCGGCCCCACGGCCTAGAAAGGAGTTTGCTGGGGTGCTGAAGCAATGTCGCCATCATCCCATCGCCACGAAAAGGGAAATTCTGGAGATTAGTCTCAGACCCAGCAACTATTGAATTCCCAGAGGAGTGTTTCCTGGGCTCTGCTGGAACTTCCAATCCAGCCTCAGGAAGCTATGCCTGCTCCTCTTCATTTCTGCCATTCTACCTGGGGTCTCTGGGACATTCTCCTCCTCTCTCTCTCTTCCCTTCCTTCCCTCACCTTTTTCTCCCTCCTCTGACAAGTAAAATTATATTATCAATTCTTTATATTCATGAAGATCAGATCACAGTTCAGAAAATTGAGTCTCGCCCTCACCCTCAAAACAAAAACAAACAAATCTCAAGTGAATAGGGATTGCCCGCTGTTCCTGTTTTACAAGTGAGCAGGTTGGGGCGATTTGTCCAAGGAAACGGGRCTGAGGTGTAGGAACAAAAGTGTTGACTGGTTTCCTGAATGATTGGTTCCTCTGTTGTCTTCAATTTCTATTGCTAAGTCTTGACTAAGATTTCCATAAAACCCCATATTCGACCTCCACCCCCTCGATTTCCTACGTGGAAAGATATTACCTGAAAAGAGCAATGTAACTCTTCCGAAAAATAAAATCAAGTCTTTTTTATATGTTTGCATTGAAATCTCCCTCTGAGAATACTTGAAAACCTCTGAGCAAAGGGCTTTGTAGTCTCCAAGACCTGATTTTGAGTCCAGACTCTGCAATTTACCAGTGTCAATTACCAAATGCTAAGCAAATTGAGAATAAGGAGACCCTAGCTCCAGAGTCTCCCGAAAGAATAGGGGTGATGCATCTTCCCTATGTGATGCAAGAGGTGTTCCATGTCGCACTCATTACAGGAATGATTCTATATATTACACTCTTGTAGCCAAATAAAACAATAGACTTCAAATTCCAGGAAGCTGAGTGTCCAGAAGATTATTAAGTCTAACTAACATTTTTGCAGAGAATATTATATTCTTTACAATTATCAATTTTTAATTTAATTCAATTTTTTTACTATGCCAAGATTAAACCCAGGGTGGCTTTGTCACTGGGCAATATCCCCAGCCCTTTCCATTATTATTATTATTATTATTATTATTATTATTATTGACAAGTCCTCTCTAAATTGCTGAGACTGGCCTAGAACTTGGGATCTTCTTGCCTCAGCCTCCCCAGTCACAGGGATTACAGTCATGCACCATCACACCCAACTGAGAGCATATTTTATAAATTTATCTCTCTCCATCTCAGAAATAATGCACTAGCATATGTGACAAAATAAGAAACAATGGATAGGGGCTGGGGATGTGGCTCAAGCGGTAGCGCACTCGCCTGGCATGCGTGCGGCCCGGGTTCGATCCTCAGCACCACATACCAACAAAGATGTTGTGTCCGCCGAGAAATAAATAAATAAATATTAAAAATTCTCTCTCTCTCTCTCTCTCACTCTCTCTTAAAAAAAAAATGTTGTAACACTGGCTCTAAGATGGTTACTTGATTCTAAAAATTTACTAAAAAACACTGGATTGAAAATCACAATATATCTAATCCCCTCAAAATGGCATCCGACTGAATCATTTGCTTCTATCCCCCCATCTTAAAGTTTGAAAACACTTCAGTATAAAGAGGAAGTTTATATTTAAAAAAAAAAAGAAAAAGAAACAATGGATAAATCAAAGTATTCATTGGGCTTTTCTGTTACCCTTTCCATAAATTTGAAATTTTCAAAATAAAATCAGAGAAAAATGAATGTTTTACAAGGCATTTTTATATATATATATTTTTAGTCATCTTTGTATGTGGTGCTGAGGATCGAACCCAGGCCGCACGCATGCTAGGCGATCGCGCTACCGCTTGAGCCACATCCCCAACCCCTACAAGGCATTTTTTAGAAATCTTACTTCCATGATTTATGTGAGTAGTTCATGTATTATGTAATTTCTGAAATTGGCATTGGAGCAGGTCCAAAGAGAGAGGGCAACACTGTAGCAGAAATCAGAAGCTTCTTCATGTCCTATCTCAGATCCCCCCGCCAAAGTCTCCCAAGGATGATATTGGACCAACATTTCCATTATGCAAGTCAATATGCATTAAACACTTCCAGTGGAAAAAAAATTTTAATTTATCTTTTTTCAGTTCTTTTCAGAAGTAATGAGAAGGCATAAAGACACTAGCTGGGGTTGCAGCCTGCTTTTGTCTGTCCGTCCATCCCCTTCTGAGGCTCTGAAGGGTGTGCTTCACAGTAGCTGTAGCAAGAGAAAGACGGAGTCATTGGTTTCACAAATGAGGAGTGTGACTACAAGGTGAGGGCTGGTAACACCTCTGTGTTCCACTCTGCAGAGGTGTCCTGTCCCTTCTTGACCCACAGACTATCTACCATCAGGCAGTGAGGCTACTGGTGTTGAACATGTTGAACACTTAACCAGAGTCAGTTGCTTAAGGCTTTCCTAAGTCACCTTGACACCCACAGCTACCTCATGCCTTGGCTGCCATTATCTGTATTTTATAATTGAGGAAAGAGTCTTAAATAGTAAGAACTTGCTCAAGGCCACCCTGATTTTAAGGAGCAAAAGCAGGACTGCAGGTAGGTGAGTCTGTCCAGAGTTTATCACCTTAACTCATCTGTGCTCCTCTACTGTGATGCTGCTGTCTTCCAGTGAATATAAAAGGCCACCTGCTTTATGATTCAACTCTGCCACTCATATCTACCCAGATCAATTAGTAGGAGATATCTAATTTGATGGTGAAATGAGAAAATTTAAAGAAATGAAGCAACCCAAAAGAAGGAGAGAGAAATAGCACCCAGGTCTCTATTACTCTAAGGCCATTCTCAAACTTGCTGGGACTCTGGCTTGCTCCATAGTATTAATATGTATTAACAGTGATTAATAGTATTAATCACTGAGTTCCACGCTCTGGTCCTAGAAGTCGTCTTGAGCCATATTTCATCTCATGTCATCACTTTTCAGAGAAGTTTGAGAACCTGTGCAAGACGGGTGGGATAGTAACCATGGAGCAGAGGTTTAGACTCTGGGTCTGAGCTTCTGGTGATCTGTCCTCTATTCAAAGGTGAGAAAGCCCCCTTTTGGGGTGATTGTGAGCATACTTCCCTGCAGTGAGATCATTTAAGATGTACTGCTGTTTCATTATGTATACTATTACTGTTATCTTTTAGACAACAATTTACTTAGTAGGTTGTAAAGTTTGCTAATACCCAAAGCTGGTGGAACTGTGAAATACCTTCTCATACACTGGGTGAAAGCGAGARTGTAGGTTGCTGCAACTTCTTTGGAAGTGAATTGGAATTGGCCGTTAAAATTGCAACAAGGGAAATAGACTCAGCAGTTACCCTTCTGGGAATTTATCCTATGGGTTTATCTGTAGAGCTACTTGGACAAGGGAGTTGATTGTGGCATTGTTACTAAAAAGGGTGAAAGTGCCTAGCAGTGTGGGGATCTGCTTATAGAAAGATGGTTCCATTTATGTAGGATCACAATGTAATTCTGCAAGGGGAGGAGGTRGACCTCCATGCACTGCTAGGAAAGAACTTCCTTCAACTATCATTAGGAAGAATATAAAAGATCCTCAGTAGCATTGTAGCATGCTAAATTTGTATAAAATCAGAGTATAAAACTTTCTGGAAAWTTTATACAAGTAATTATTACAATAAGGACCTCTGGGGGATGGAGTTGTGGCTCAGTCGTAGAGCTTGCCTAGCATGTGTGAGTCAATGAGTTCGATTCTCAGCACCACATATACATAAATAAAAATAAAGTTCTATCAATAACTAAAAAAATAAAGTGAAAAAAAATAAGTGCCTCTGGAAATTAGGGAAAGGCAAGAATCTATGACCTTTTTAAAAAAATAAAATCTATRACTTTCAATGATCTTTTTTTAAAAAAATGTGAATGGTAAAAGCATTATATAACCAATAAAAATATAATGCTTTTACCATTCACATTATTTTTTTTTTGGTACATTACAATTGTACATAATAGTTGGATTCATTTGGATGTAATCATTCATGCATGGAATTTAATTTACTCCATTTCAGTCCCCAGTTCTTTTTACCTTTAATGTTGTTTGAATATTTGAAAAAAAATATTTACTGAAATGCATATTATTTAAATCTTCTTATTATGACATCATTATTTGTATTAACTAATGACAAAACTTAATGATTCTTATTCAACTAGTGATTCGTTCAACGAATGATTCTTATTCATAACAAACCTTAGACACTAATAGGATATTTGGGTTTTTTAAAAAATATTTATTTTTCAGTTTTCGGCRGACACAACATCTTTATTTTATTTGTATRTGGTGCTGAGGATCGAACCCGGGCCACACGMATGCCAGGCGAGTGCRCTACCGCTTGAGCCACATCCCCAGCCCAGGATATTTGTTTTTAAAATCTGAAAGAATGAAGAAAGAATACTGGATAATGTCCAGACTTAAACTCTACCCTCTAGATGTCCTAACAGCCTCAAGAGAGACAGTTAAATAATTAAATAAGAAGTTGCCAGCAGTCAAATTGATACAATTAATTAAGATCTACTAGTATGGATACATATCAAGCAGCCTATCATTAGCTATAACATATGATCCATTATGGTGTTAATAATAAGTTGCCATTTCTTAAGTGTTGC